GTTGGTTTTTTAGTGTTTTTTTAATATATATATATATATATATATATATATATATATATATATATGACTTTTAGCCTCTTTTTTAAATATCGATATAGAAGACCGTTACTGGTTAACATAGATAATTTTCATTTTTATCTTTTTATTAATTCTCATTAAATGAAAGAATAATTGCAGAAATAGCTAAGCTGAAGAAGCTTTCTCTCTCTCTCTCTCTCAAGAATATTTTTAAAGCAATTAGAATATGAACAAGTCACACAACAGTGCTTTGCAATGTGTCTTTGAGGATTGAGCATCCCCTGGTTTAAGGATATCCTATCCTCAGATAGGAAGGATAAATAATTTATTTGATTTTAAAACAATCAAAAATAAAGCTTAAACTTAAAATCCTTTCATCCAACAATGCTTCTCATTGAGATTCAAGTTACGTTGAAATTTTAGAAAAAAGTCTTACAAAAAGTTAGTAGCTATGTTAATTGTATTTTTTTGAAATTCTGAACATTCAATTTTGCAGGTTTAAAGTTAAAACGTTGGTCAACCTCAAAATATAAAAGCAATCCGAATTTCCGCGGGTACCATTTCCGCGGCATTTTACAAAATATAAATGAAATTTATAAAGTGATAATAACTTTTTATTTCAAATTTTTCGGTGCTCCGGGTCACTATCCAAAGTCTAGTAATGAAGTCATAATTGTAATTATATATTTGAAATTTATGGTGATTTTACATTTTATAATTCACATTTAGTAAAGAATTATAAATACATATAAAAAAAAATTAAATATCAATGACAACGTTGTTATTCAAATTATAGCTTGTCCAAGACCTTTTATGGACAACTCTCGTAAATATAGATAATAAGATATATACAAGATCACTACGTACTAAATGACTGGATTTTTTAAATACTTGTGGAATAGGAGGAAGATAAGTCCTACAAGATCTAGTCCAAGTTTATGTTAAAGTCTACAAGGATTGTCTTTTTTAGAACCTGCATTTATTTCTGTACATAGAAACCTTTGACTATATGCACCTGACGTCTAGTTATCTCTGTATAAGGTTGCAATAACAGGACACTTGGTCTCTGAACTAAGGAACAAGCAAAGAAAATGTCATCCCAAATTCTATTCAAATGGCTTGCTATTGCAACATTCACAGGTAACGTAAAATAATAACCATAATTTTTTTATACGTATAGTGAATCCTTTTTCAAGTTCCTTCGAGTTTCATTTTTTTTTCACATTGCATATAAATTTAATTATCAAAGTTCGATCAAAGGCGGTCGCCCACGTGGAGCAGTGGTTGGAGCGTCTGCTTAGAGTCGCGAAGTAAGGAGTTGATCCTTACGTCGAGGGTTGAAATCCCACTTTTGGACGTGATCTAACCCTTAGGATGAGACTGTATAAACAGAAGCCCCGTGTCGCAGTAGCTGCTGCCACGAAATGACCCCTCCCTGCTCAATGGGCCCCCAAATGCCGAGGATAGGACAAAATTTGCAAAATGAGTGAAAAATTAAGGGACGTTAAACAACATACAATCAATCAATCAAGGGTGCACTTGAATATGTGTCAGGTTGTACATGCTTTATTTATTTCAGGGATTATATATGTGGAAGCTGACTGTCCGAACAACTGGAAAAGTTTTGATAGAAATTGTTATCTATTTCTAAACCATCATCCAATGAACTGGCAGAGCTCTCGGGGAGTTTTCATTCTTCTTTTTTTTCTTTTGATAGTCTTGTCCTAAAGTGAAAAGTAACAGGTCAAAAATGAAAAAAAAGAAGTTATTTTTGAATATTTTATTGTTGAGTATGGAATGAAGCTTTTCTCATAAGATAGTTGTTGTATTTTAGTGATTTTTTCACTACCAGTTTCTGAAGTCTTTGTATATTAATTTTGCATTATAAAAGTACATGTATTGGTTGTTGATAGTAATTAGAAATTATTGATGTTTATATGAATAGGTAATTTAAACACACACGAGGGGAATTTTAATAATATTCTGTAAATTTATTTGAAATCTTCTAACAGATATAATTTTAATTGTATTCTTAATCATGATGAGAATTCAGATATTGTGAATTTATTTGGTACAGGACTACTGCATTCACGCAGGTGCTAAGTTGGTGGAAATTGATTCTTCTGTTGAGGATATTTTCATACTACAAAACGCCAAGGATTTACATCTAAGTGGTCGTAAGTTTTAACTATTACCTATTTCATAATTACCTAATATACCTTCTGATAATACCCAAATGATTTCCATTGCAAGCAAACAATACAAAGGACGGGAATAACAGTTGAATATACCTAATTTTGTACAATAAATTAGAATGTGGTATACACAGTCATCGAAAGCTATCAATTGATCTGATAGTTTTTTTTCCAAGAATTCAAGATTTGTTAATTTATGTGCGTTTCCTACGATGCTTTTGTAAGTATAAAGTGATATTGTTTAAGTTGTTGTAGCTTATACGTATTAAAAAATTCCCAACGAATTGACCTCAAAACATTACAAATTGATAAAATCGATTTCACAAATTTTTTGAAAAGGGTTTGTAGTTGGGTATTTCAATTAACGAGCCATAAACATTACAAATTATAAGAAATCGAAAGAATTTTCTATCTTCTTTTTTATAGACTGTTTTTGGTTGGGAGGATCTGACGCCGAGCACTGGGAGTATGGTTGTGGTCAACTTCACGTAAAATGTTTATGTACAAAAACTGGGCGCCAGGCGAGCCTACGACTACCACACACACAAGGAGCACTGCCTTAATCTCCACTACTACACTCACTATAACGCGTACCTCTGGAATGACGAGCGGTGTGCAGAACATTGCTACCCTATCTGTGAACAACCGTACGGGAAAGTTGTAAATATTGACGGTGCGACTGGTAGGCTGAGTGCAGATACTTGCTCAGTTTTTATTATAATCGAGCTCGTCCAACTGCACGATAATATACATAAGACGTTAGAAAATTATACTAAAACATAAAGACAGGTTACACGGCTTTGTATCAATTTTAAATCATTGGATTTAAAATATGGGTACAATTTCCGGTTGTTTGAATAATAATTATACGCACAATTTTTAGCAAGGCGAACGAATTGATGAAACAAAATATTGATCTGCTCGTTGAAATTCATCAAATTAGAGTTTCTATAGCCAAAACAATAAGTAGGTGCCATTATATACATATTGAGTTTTCTACTGATATTTCCGCTTACCCCGATCATAACAAAAAGCATACAGCGAGTGTCAAAGGTAGACAGGAAATATACACACCCCCAGGGCACCTGATTCCACATTGAAGTCTGTGTTTTTTGCCCCTGATTTGTAAAATTCAAATGAACTTTTGAGCTTTAATATTGTCCCTTATTACCATATTTCATAATGGAAAATGTTGACTGCGTGGTAAAGACCATTGGTCGATTACTTTGAGAAACTAGAATAGAGATTGTTTTAAAGCTATATGAAATTTCCATTCAAAAGGAATTGTATGATAAGCTTTTCCCGAAAAAAATACCACGAACGCAAAATGCATTGTAAATGCATTTGGCAATTTCTATAGGCGAGGCAATGACCTTGTCAGCAAATACAATTTCTAATTGAGTCACAACTGACGTTTTACAAGCTTAGAGTTAGTCCATTTTATGTATTTATACACTGAATCCAAGACGAATTACTCCGCTATTTCCCATCATATTAAGGAGCACACGGCGGGAGTAGCCAGACGGTGGTAAATGCTCACTCCGACATTGCACCTGATCCCACCTCTGATGTTTTGGAGATCCGTGTTTGCTCTGCTCCTATTTTGTATTGTTTTATGGACTTTTGATCTTGAATATTGTTGTATATCTTCATATATATACCGTTGGTAAAATTTTAACTTCTTTAAGTGTTTTAAAATATTTTATGAATTATAGACATTGGTTTATTTTCTATTAAATTCAGAAACCCATGGATACGATTCACCCATAAACCTTATGTTCCTACCGCCACCACCACCACTTCTACCTCCAAGACCACAACCTCAGTCCCTTCCACCACCACAAATACTGCCCTTCCACCGACTACCAAGCACTTACAAATGGTGACACTGCCGCAGCACCCACAAACCTCTCAGCTTACAAACTGTCAAAGCGGATGGATCAGATTTGGTTTCAGTTGTTATCTTTTTGCTACAGACATCTCGTACGACTGGATTGAATCAGGGGTAAAGGATGATTGTATCGCTGGTAAAATAAACGAATAGTCAATAGAGTTAGCTTTTTTTAACAGTTACTATTCAAATTGAGATTTAAATACAAATAGTTATGTATACTATGTAATGCATCTCTAACATATCATTGCGAGGAAAATAATATATTGCATTTAGGTAAGTTGTAAATGTGGATTTGTTTTTTACACCTTTCTTGGTTTATCTTAATTTTCGGTTAAGGTATAAAAAGAATTGAATATTTTAAAAAATTTTCATATTTAAAAAAAGGTATCATTTTTAGTTTTATTGGAATTAAAAAGGGTTGGTCACGTGATCAAATCTCAAAAAGCCTGAAGGACTTTATGGAAGATTTGATCAGTGTAAACCGATTTACATCCCAATAAAATTCAAAAAACGATACCTTATTACTTATACACTGTATTTACATTTGTAACTATTTATTGCAAATAGTAAGGTACTTAAGTAAAGTTTGAAATTCATAATTTTTTTTTAAAAATGGGGAAAAAATTATTGTGTTGATAACGTCGATCGCTTATGACGTCGCTATCAAATTTCTAATTCGATGAACTAACAATCAATTTATTGTCACATGACGAACGTGTTTTACGAAAATGTAAAAACACCTTGTTCAAATAGTGTTATATGAGGGAAAACATTTGCAAATGTAAATAATATAGTTAAAGTCGATATAATATTAGATACTTACTATTTTGCGGATTAAGTTCTGAACTTTGTATATTTCACAAATTTCAGCACTTCTGCACACTGTTTGGGGATCTTTTCATCCATAGAAACTGATATTGAAAATAATTTTATAAGACAGCAGTTGCTTAGCATCGCAAAATTGGTAAGAGGAAAGGGGTTTAATTGATAAAACATATCTTTAACCTAGATGAACTTCGTAATTATTATTCTGAATATTATTATATATTTAGCTGACTTTTGGGTTGGTGGAACAGACATTATGTAGAAAGGTATGGAAATGGGTGACGTCACAAAAGCCTATAACTTATTCCAGTTGGTATCCTGGAAGGCCTAATGATCTTCATCACACTGTTAACTGTCTGGAACTGTCTCATAATTATCAGTACCACTGGAATGACCAAGAAGATGTAGTATACAAAACCATTTTATTTGTGAAATGCCGTAGTTTATATATTTTACTTTCAGGTTTTTAAAATAGGTTTTGTAATTGGATTCATTCAACTTCAATTTTTTGTGCTTTCAGCCTTATATTCATAATTTTAAGGATCAAGACTTTTCTTTCCTTTTTAGGAATCCTGCTAACTCTCGTCCCATATTTGGATAAAAGGCATAAAATACATCAATCTTTAGAGTTTGTTCATAAAGGAATGAAGTCTGAAATGAATTTTTTGATAAAAGTGTTTTACATATCAAGTTTTTCAAAAATTTGTCCTTATGTATTGTTTCTTTTTAAATCAAGAAAACTTGTGAATTGCATTGTTTGTACTTTGAGTTGTGTATTGATTTTTCCCCAGTTTTCCGATATGTTTTTAATGTTGCTTTTCTTGGCTGCAAACGCCAGTATCAATTTTAAACTATATCTTAAGTGTATTTAGAGTAGATACATAAATATAAGTATGACTTATCGGATTCCTGGCCCCAGGATCAGAAATAAAATTGACTTAGGTCAAAATTTCAATTACCTGTAAAATACAAATGTACTTATTAATTGCTTAATTTATTTCAAAGTTTGCAAATATCAACACTTTAATGAATTGATATTGACACACATTTCAATTTTGATTTCTTTGAAGTCAACAACATTTCAAGTAATATTTCGACTTAACCTTAAGATGTTTCATGATCCTGGGACAATGAAATTTTAACCTGCACTTCTTGAAAATGATTCCATTAACATCATTTGTTTTTTGTCATTGAGACAAAGGTTTTCAGAGATTTTCTTGCTGCATACCTATGAAAATTTTAAATCATTTATTTTTGCCCAACTCTATGTAACCTGATCCCACCCCTATTCACCGTGTTTGCTCTGCTCCCGTTTTGTGTTGTTTTATCTCCATATCCTTCATCATAGACTCACGTTTTTAATCACTTACTTTTACTGACGGTTTTTTTTTTCCATTTCGATATAAATTATCATGACTCTGTCGTTCCTACACATATTTATGCTAAAATTTGATCGCAAATTATGGCTATAAACAAGCCGGGGTCATGTTCTGTAATTATTGATTTTTCATTTATTTTAAAAGTTTTCACAAAAACTTATATTACTTGACCCTTTGTACTCTATAATTGTCTTTTTCTTCGCCAAAATATCAACTGCCTGCTCGGCGTTAAACAATAATAATAATCAATTTTTTTCCTAGTCCTTTCTTGAAAGGGGGTTTGGTAATTTATTTGGACAAGTCGGAATCCACTTCCTTCAAAGATGCTCTTTTGCAAGTTCAATTGAAATCGCCAGTTTGGTTTTAGAGAAGAAAATTTAAAATTAAAAAAATATATATAAAATGTAGATAGACCAATAAGAAGACGAAGGAAAAAACAAACAACTTAAGATAGTTGAGAAAAGCTCAGGTGAACCTTTAACTGTATAAGCTTTAAGATTAATCACGCCGAGCTTTCCACACACGCATCCCCCAAAAATATATTGAGTATCACATCTTGGAAACGCTCCAATACTCAAAAGTTTTTTAAGCAATTTTCCACTCTAAATGCATTTTAAACATTTTAGAAAATTTATTAGTCATATCATTGTCATGATTTGACTCTGCATTTTTTCAACAAAATTATCTTAGACTCTCGCGTTTTCTCATCTTTTAATTGATTGATTCTAGTTGTTTTACACCAACTAACCTTATAATATCAACGCAAAATCCTCAGCCAGAGTAACTCACTAGAATCGTTAAAATTAGTGCCTTCAATTACAAAAAAATGTCTACACTATTACTTATATACGAGAGGGTATCAAAAAGTTCGTGGACTGGCGCCATGAAATTAAAACCACTTTAGGTACATTAACAAATTTTAAAATATCTAGTAAGCATCACCTTTACTATCTTCAGAATAAATCACAAATCATAAATTCAATTTTTTAATAAATGAGTGATGTTTTCGTAAGCAACGGTATGTTCAAGCGGCGCAACTAAGAACACGACGTTTTTTTAGACTTAAGTGTAACCGAGAGAAACTCTTCAGATATGAACACTTTATATCCAAAAATTCCGTTCATTTAGGTATGTTTTGGGACACTACGAGGGCTGTCCGTAAAGTTCGTGGACAACATTTATAATTACTGACAAACATTGAACAAAATATATAAAACTATTATTTTCATCAAATTCATGTTTCATTTTAAGAATATACAAGTTTTCAATAAAAACAAAGCACATTAACTATAACATTATTAGATACAAAATATATATACTCATATCCGGAGCACAAAAACGAAAATTAATGACGTTACCCGACGTCAAATGCTAAGTTCGAGCACATGTAATTTTTCTCAACATAGTCAACGTTTAACTCAATAATTACTTATGTCGTTTTGACAAGTCATAAAAATACGCACAAAATGTCCAGGTTTCATTTGTAAAATAATATTTAACAATGATCGTCTCATATATCCAGCAATCATCCAACCACTGTCCGTGTAAAGACGATTATGGTTGGCCGTTCTACTCACAATTATTTATTTTTACTCCACTAAAATTATTTTTACTGCAGTAAAAATAAAACACTGGCCAATGCTACTCACAATTAAATATTTTTATCCAGAATCATTTTTTACTCCAGTAAAAATCATTTAATTTTCTTACTGAAATAAGATTAACTTTTTGGCCACATTACTCACATTTAATTAATTTTACTGCAGAGAAAAATAAAACACTGGCCATCTAACTCACACATTAATTATTTTTACTGCAGTAGAAATATAACACTGGCCTTCTCTACTCACAATTAAATATTTTTACTTAAGTAAAAATCAACCAATAACCAGGTATGTTACAAATTAGCATTTCTAATAAATATTTGGCGGTAATGGCGTATACAAGACATCACCGTGAATTAGAAAACACTAATAATAATTCTTAGACGAACAAAGCAAACCATCAATGACTGTATACGTTTATCAGCCACAGATAACCTTGAAGCAGAAACCATTGACAGCATTGTTTTAAGGTAGGCATCATAAATTTGCATATTTATCTTGTTTGTTGGCGGATCCAAGATTTTTTTATGTGTTGTGAGAAAAGTTATATTACTCTAGACCTATCGAAAATTTTCATCATGTTCATATTCCAGCTGTTACTATTTTGTACTAAAACTCAGTATCTAATTAGATAAGATTTTTTGTCAGATTCTTATATTCGGTATCATGAAAAGTTAATTTTATGCCCATGGATCAATAGATCGGGGCGCATATTGTTTTTGTCTTTTTTGTTTGTCTCTCGGCTGTCAACAGCCACGTAGCATCGTTTTTGAAGGGGCAGCCCAGAGAAAAAAAATTTCACTTACCTGAAGAAAGTTGACAAGAAAAAAAGAAAAAAGGAAAATTGTCCAAAGTCGGGTAGTTTGACAACTTTTTTCAGTGTCATCAACTTCTTTCAGTATCAATTTTTAACATTCAGTACTACATTTCCCTTATATAAATTTCCTGTAGTGTATAGAGGGGGGGGCTACCAACCTTTCAATTAACATTTCCTATAGTAAAAGTCAGGTTGCTACGTGCCTGATCAACTTTAACATTCACCATACATGTAACTTACAAACCATGAAAGATAGATTCACTCCACTATAATTAAATTCTTTCAAATGACACCAACGTTAATGACCTTGTGACCTTAATTGTAACCTATAAGCTAAAAATATTTTTTTTTAACCTTTACAATGATTTTTGAACCACAAAAATTATCGAGGGACTTCATGTTTGGTATGCATATTCCACTAACTAAGTTCTTTCAAATGACACCAAGGTCAATGAATGGCACAAGTCATACATTGTGGACTAAACAAATAATATATAGCCAAACAGCTTTTCCTATATTAATTAA